TTATTTCCACCAAACTACTCTCGAGCTCTTACTACTTGCAAAGCCTTGACCCACATCGACATCATTGACATTTGGTGAACTCTGATTGTTTAACCCGAAGTGCGAGGTTCAATCGGTTTATCATCACATGTTAATAGTCATGTGGGGTTTGAGTCTAACAATTAGTTCGAGACTTCTAGCTTCCCTTCTTCAAGCCTAAAGGCTAAAAGAACTGAACGCTTCTCACCAACCTCTTCTTGATTCATCAAGAAACTTTATGTCTTTCAACAACAGCTCTATCAACTCCGAAGTTCTCCCTTCCTCCATTGAATTGCTGACTGTTCTTCTAGAAACCTTAACAACCAGGATAATCAGGGATTATCAAGCCAGGGATGACATCATCCATCAACTCATCAACAGCCTCTTTACCGAGGCCCAAAACACCGAGCTCGGACCTGGACAAGGGTCTGAAGGCATGGGCCAGCCAGGTCCTTGCCAAGAGGAGGAGGAACCTCTTGATGGTTCTTCATGAGTCCTGACCCCCAACGCTGACTCCACTGATACATTGGTGGAAGAAAAGGAGGTCGAGCACGGCCAGCAGTGGGGAGACGAGCTCGATGAAGAGCACTGACAGTTAGCCGGACTCGGCTGACCAACAGAGTGGGGCCCTGCACCAAGAATCCGGAAACCAAGGAAATGGCTCCCAGGAACCGAGTGGGATGAAAATCCCGAAGACGACCCCTACACCCCAGATCGCTGGGACGAACCCATCAACGATCAGGATCGAAGTACCGATCCTCGATCAACAGTCACCGAAGGAGGCAGTGCTGAGGGACGAAAATGGGCCCCCAGCACCAAGTGGAATGAGGATCCCAAAGACGACCCTTATGAGGTCGACCAATGGGACGACACCTCCGACGAGGGAGAAAGCGGTCCAGATGGACCCTATATCAGTAAGTCAGGGAGCAGTGGCTCCCTGACAGATGATGAGTCCTTCGACTGGACCATCAAAGCAAGGATGGCAACCCGGCCATCACCACAGATTAGCAATCGAGCCCTTCGAGGGTTCTTGCACAGGAAGATCACAACTCTCTTCCTCAATCAGGACTTCTTCAATGAATTCCAACAATATACCGATCGGATGGAAGGAGAAAGGGAGTGGCAGCGCAATGCCAAAACCAATGGGATACAGGACATACCCGCTTGGGGAGTCCTATACTGGAAGGACCCCAATGACCCTCAAGGCCAATACTGGCCTGAGAGAAGAAGGAGAGATAGGAGAGGAGGGAAGCCTTCCCTCCAAAAATAATTGGTGGACCCAGCTGGTGGACGAGGAGTGGGAGGATTGGAAAAGCAGGGAGGAAAGGCATCTAGGGGGTCGGCGATACCCTCGACTGATCTCTGGAAACAATGGAAGGCCATTGGCACCAAGCCTACCCCTGGTACTTCCCGAGGACGAGTACTTGCCATTCCCAGTAAGTACTCCACCACCCTGGAGAAGAAGCCCTTCTCGAAACAGTACAGCATCCTGGCTTTCCGAAGAAAGGCCAAAATATCCGAACCCCTGGAGGGTTCCAGGCTTCCCATCCCGACCACTCGGAGGGCAACCGCCACCTGACAAAGCCGAAGAAAGTGGGCCAACTCCCACAGATGAGAAGAAGAACGACCCGAAAGCCACGGCACAAGGGTGGATGATCAAAGATGGCTGGATCGTCTGAAAGGAAGGGCCCCCGATGCCAAGAAGCCCTGTCGCCGATGATGGGTCCCTGCATTCCTTTCCAGGGCCCCCGACGGACTGGGTTGGCCCCCCTGGAGGGGAACCCCCAAATCCAATATCGCCTCTGGATCTGAAGGCGCATGTATTAAATGTCAAACCAACATACGGGCAGGACCCCCTTTCCTTCAAGGGGGCCTCAGATGATATTGACCATTTCCTTCTAGATTGTGACCAATATTTCCAAGTCTTCGCATCCTATTTCCTCTTCGACGTGTATAAAGTCAACTACACTATGACATACTTCGAGGACAAAGCAAAAGTGTGGTGGGTCTTGATGGCCCCTACGTTCTGGTCGACCACGCGACAACATCACCGACTCTCCTCATGGCCGGTACTAAAACAGATGATCCATGACAAGTTCACGGATCCTGCTGTCCGAGAAGTACACAAGGCAAGAATGAAGGAGTACAAGATGGGCGACAAGATGGCACCAGACTACTTCGACGAACTGGAATGACTTGGAAAGTTGGCCGGAATCCAGGAGGACGTAGCGGACTCAGGATGGATGGTCGAATATATGAAGTTGGGAGTGCCACCCCACTATCTGAAGACCATTTCGGACCTTGGGCATAGCGTGCCGATCGGCTATGATGAGTGAAAGTCATGAATCACACTGATGTGGCAGGAACAACAGCAGCAGAAGGCAGAAGCATCGAACCTGTGGGGGCAGCACAGGTACCAGGGACAGGGCTCGAAGCCCTCCACCTCCCATGCGACCATGTCTGCCAGGCCCGGCGGCTCAGCCCCAACTTCTCAGAACGACGGGAAGCAAACCGGTAAGGGCCCAAGTACCAGAAAGGGTAAGCAAATCGACGTGGATCACCTCAAGAAGGAGGGGAAGTGCTTCAACTGTGGCCAACCAGGCCACATGACATGGAACTGCCTGGAGAAGAAGAACAAGCGCACGTGGGAGGACATCAGGGCACAGATTGCTGAATTGATAAAGGAGGACGATGACCTCGGGCAAAACGACAAGCCCGAGGAGGTAAAAGATGGGGCCGAGCAGTAGGCGATTCAACTGCCTCGGCCAAGGACAAGAGTAATAGGTCACAGCCTGCAGGACAGACTGACATTTTTCCCTCTTCTTTAGTTTCCGACAATATGCCTAAATTATGCGTGCATTCGAATATACCCGACTCTATTACTCAGAACCCAGAATCACCCAAGGAATCGACTTCTAGAACTCAAGCACCAACAAAGGGCCGAAGAGGGGCAGAGAGCCCCAAAGGTATGTTTCCATCTTCCGTTCATCAAGCTAAAAAACCAAAACAGACTCAATCGCCTTCGGGCCGAAGAGGGGTAGAGGACCCCACAGCCTGGCTCAAGCCATTCGACACTGAATAGACTTGGCGAGCAATCAAAGATGCCAGGAACGAAGTGGCAGCGAAAGCTGTACTGAAGAATTGGATATACAAGACTCGCATTGAAGAGGTGATCGACGATATGGTCACAGGAATGCGAAAAGTGGAGAGGTGTCAAGCACTTGAATGGCTCAACGAATTACATGGACCATGAAAGTTCATTCGTCAAACCAAAACTTCAGAACAGGACCTAATAACCAAAGCGCAGATCGAGACATTAACATCTCAATCTACCCATGCAGTCACTGCCCTGATCGACAGCAGCTGCACAGGAAGTTCCATCAATTGAGCTTTCGTCACCAAGCATCAATTACCTACGAGGGCAACAGCGGCCCCAATTCCCATCTACAATGCAGATGGGACAAAGAACCAAGCCGGAATAATCACCGAATACATGGAACTCAGACTCACTATCGGCGATCACTCAGAACGAATTGACCTGGCCGTGACTGACCTTGGAACAAGAGAAGTGTTCCTTGGTCATGACTGGCTCATCAGACATAATCTGTTAATCAATTGGAAGACCGGACGAATCATCTTCGCTCGATATCGTTGCTGGAAAATTCCATTTGAACTACCAGATGAAGATCCCGACGACCGGTGGGATGAAGAGATGGAGGACGGCAAGACCATTCTTGCCGTTGACCTACAAAGGGCTATTAGCATTCGAGCTATGCATCATGCTAATGACCTAGTGGCAAAAGCTAATGCCGAAAAGAGAGAAAGGACATTTGAAGAAATGGTACCTGAATGGGCACGTGACTACCAGGATTTATTCGAAAAAGAAAGTTTCGACGAACTATCCGATGCAAAACCCTGGGACCATGCAATCGAATTAATCCCCAATGCAAACGCTAACCTGGATTGCAAGTGCTACCCACTGGGCAATAACGAGCAACAAGAACTAGATAAGTTTCTTGAAGAAAACTTATCTAGTGGGAGAATCCAGCCGTCCAAGTCACCAATGGCGTCACCCTTCTTTTTCATCAAGAAGAAGGATGGAAAACTCCGACCAGTACAGGATTATCGAAAGCTCAACGAAATGACGATCAAGAACCGCTATCCTCTTCCGTTAATCTCCGAATTAATGGATAAACTCTGAGGCACCAAGTACTACACCAAATTGGACGTTCGGTGGGGATACAACAATGTGCGTATCAAAGAAGGAGATGAATGGAAAGCCACTTTTCGAACAAACTGCGGGTTGTTCGAACTGACAGTTATGTTCTTCGGACTAACAAATTCACCAGCCACTTTCCAGTGGATGATGAATGACATCTTTAAAGATCTCATCGCCACAGGGAAGGTCACTATCTATCTGGATGACATACTCATTATGTCCAAAACCAAGGAAGAGCACCGAAGGCTAGTACACCAAGTGCTATCCTTGATGAGGAAGCACCGACTCTTCCTCAAAGCTGAAAAATGTGAATTCGAGGTATTAGAAACTGAATACCTCAGAGTCATTATCAGCGAAGGAAGTATCCAGATGGACCCGATCAAAGTAGCGAGGGTAACCGAATGGTCAGAATCATCCAAAAAGAAGGAGCTACAATCCTTCTTAGGATTTACCAACTTCTACCGCCGGTTCATTCGGGACTATAGCAAAATAGTCTGACCAATGACGCAATTAACCGAAAATTCCCCATAGACTTGGGGAATTTCTCAACAAGCGGCATTTAATGACCTGAAACGCCGGTTAGCCAAAGATGTTATCCTGGCCATACCAAGCCAGGATGGGAAGTTCCGGGTGGAAGCCGACTCCAGTGAAGGCACTATTGGAGCTGTACTATCACAGGAACAGAATGGCAAATGGCGACCTGTCGCCTTCATGTCAAAGGCGCTCACAGTAACTGAGCGCAACTACAAGATCTATGACAAGGAACTCCTCACTATAATGCTCGCCCTTGCCGAATGGCAGCATTATCTCATTGGAGCCAATCACACCTTCGAAATCTGGACCGATCACCAAAACCTCTGATACTTCCGACACTCCCAAAAGCTTAATCGCAGACAAGCCAGATGGGTCACGGAATTATCACAGTACAAATATACACTCCATCACAAGGCTGGAGTAGCAAACAAGAAGGCCAATCTTCTCAGCTGCAGGGCGGATCATGATCAAGGAGGAGACGACAACAAAGAGGTTGTTTTATTACAACTGGAACACTTCCAGGCAATGATTATGCCTATGGAAGAGGAGATGCATGAACGCATCAAGAGTGCCATCCGGGATCCACACAAGTGGGATCAAAGAATCGCTGCATCACTCAACCACGAGCATGGGATGAAAAAAGAAGGGGGACTGATCCATTATGACGAATGGATTTACATCCCAAGGGATCAAAAACTGCGGGGCGATATCATCGCCATCAGTCACGATCATGCAACCACCGGACACCCCAGGATCGCTAAGACCAAAGAATTGGTCTTGAGAGAATATTGGTGGCCCAAAATGGACCATGATATCACCCGATATGTCAAAGCTTGTGAGGCTTGCCAGAGAGGCAAGACTTCAACACAACCCAGAGCAGCCCCACTCCATCCAAATGAGGTCCCTTCATCATCATGGACCCACATCTCGGTGGATATGATAACGGGACTTCCCAAAAGTGATGGCTATGATGCGATCATCGTCATAGTCGATCGCTTCTCGAAAGCAATCATTCCGATCACCTGTTCGACAGAATTGACATCCGAAGGATGGGCAAAGGTGCTATGGGATGAGGTTTATGCAAAGTATGGCATGCCTCAAGTAGTGATTTCGGACAGAGGACCACAATTCATCTCCAAATTCTTGGATGATTTGTACCGACTCCTCAACATCAAGAGAAATGCCTCGACGGCATATCACCCACAGACGGACAGCCAAACGGAATGGGCCAACCAAGAAATTGAAAAGTACCTGCGACTTTTCATTAGCTATCAACAGGACGACTGGACAGAATGGCTCACACTGGCAGCGTTCCAACACAACAACA